AATGTATGTACCAAATTTGAACAAAATCCGTCCATGCATAACTGAGATCCGGGTCCGGAATGGTGAAAATGTGCGATTTTGATGCATTTTCGGCCTTAAAATGGCCGCTATTCGGCTATCGTTAATCGGATCATGAAAAAAATGCATGTGCATATGTCCCATATAAGGTGTGATGTATGAGTGAAGTTTGAACTTAATCGGTCCATGCATGTTCGAGATACAGGTGATCACGGACGCACGGACGCACACAGGGCAAAACATAAGTCCCCGTTTTCGGACTGCGTCCGAACGGGGACTAAAAACAGGTGCAAAATTATCTCTTTTGAATGCTTAGTAAGATTTAGCAAGGCTGTACACAAATAATAAAAAAAAATTATGGTGAAAAAAAGAAATGATGGGATCTCCATATTATGCACTATATTCAACTTTTAGCAAAACAATGATACATTTAAATTTGGAACTGTTACAGCCATTTTAATTATGAGCATTAGCAAACTTCTTACCGAGTGAATTGTTATGCAAATTAGCAATTATCTCAGCTTCTTTTTAGTGCACATTCCAGAACTTTAAAAAAAATAGCTCCTAGACGCTTTGACCTTTTGTTTTGAAATTTTCACAAATGATTGACAATGTGTTTATCTTCAAAACGCCGTCGGAGCATTGTTTTTAGTTGAATAGTGTTACAGCAATTGTACAGACACCTAGCCTGTGTCCATAAAAATAAAAATACTAACAAAACTTTAAAATTCATACAATAGTTTTGTGGACAAGGGAGGTTATCTTGGTTTCCTAATTAACTAATTAAAATACCTGTCAGGTAAACTGCATCTCTACCTTAATATATATGTTCATAACATAAACTTACCTTGATACTTGTTGACTGAAGACTTTGAAAGAAATATCTTGGAAATCCCAATGGTACTTTTAATAATGTGACAGATGTTTTCCACAAACATTCAGTATGCTGTAAAGCATATACAAAATTATTAGTCCATACATATGTGATATAATGGAGCAAAGACTTCAATTATGATCACTCAAAACAGATAAGGATAGAGATCAATTTTGTATCTTATCTGGAAATATTAATGAATTTAAAACATATGGAGTAGTAATTTTCAATGAAATAAACAAATATTTAGGAAAATTATTATTATAAACAACAAAATACATGCATATTAAGTTTATATCCTTGAATACTAGAAAGTTGCATAGTCAATAAAATGAACTGAAGTACAACTAACCAGCTGAGTTATTGCAGCGCCCTCTACCTGCAGCAACACTTCATGTATATTTCTCATGGCATCTTGGCAAGCTATTGACAACTGGTTGCCATGACGGAATGATGTATCTAATGAAAATAGGTCTACTTGACTTGAAGCTTTGCCGCTGTAAGTGAATTAAATAACAATCTTAACCTCATCATAGAAATAGTTTTGACACTTGATTATTGTAACATCAATTGCCTCCTTGACTTTATTATAGTAATCACAGTAATTCTCTGATTGGAATGCAAGGGCACTATGCATGGTATGATGGGTAGTTGTATAC